ATCGAGACTTCAACACAGAGGTGCCTGAGTGGCTCAGTCAGGTAAGTGGCCAACTCTTGATTTCAGCTCAGGTCATGATCTCATGGTTCGTGAGATCGAGCCTCGTGTCAGGCTCTGTGCTGACAGAGAGTAGAGCCTGCTTGGGATTTTCTTTCTCCCTCTTTCTGCCCCATGCTTGCATGTGCTTGCTCTCTCGCTCTCTCTCTCTCTCTCTCTCTCTCAAAATAAATAAATATAAACATTTTTTAAAAAGACTTCAACACAGAACTAATTATTTAATCATTCCTTTTTCTCATGGCAGTTGGTTTTTAATTTATGGGCCCAATTCACTCTTGATTCTGAGGAAACCTCCTACGATCAGAACTTCCTAAAGTTCCATTCCGCTTCCTCATTATCTCTGTTTTTCCCACGTCAGCTATTTGTTCATCTTAGTCATCCTCTTTCAAGTTTAGTCTCCTGCAAATGTCTGATGGGCCTGGACCACCTATTTACATTAGTAAGTGAAGGACTACATGGGTTAGTAACTGTAAGAGGCATGGGTTTCCTCAACAGTTGTATTACTCTGTCTCCAAGACTCCAAATGAGAGGTCTCTTTCACTGTGGGTCTCTGCAGGTAAGTGGTACAGTGGAGGTACACTGACAGACAGGTTTCCCTTTCGAAAGAAGCTGAGGAAAGGTAAGCAGTTTTGCCTTAGGATTGCCAGAATAAGGCCGTATTTTGGCGGTAGGGTCCTTTAATGTACGTCAATCCCGGATTGAGTTCCCTTTCTTTTCCTGCTCCTGTTCCACCCTCCTCACCCATCTACTGTGGAGGCGCACACTACCTGAAGCTCTGCTTTGCGCTCCCACTCTCTCTCCAGTCCAAGTCCATGGGAACAGGGCCTGCTCAACCATCCCCAAAGCAAATCCCCTAACCCCACCTGAAGAGCTGTTCTCGTAGCCTTATCCTAGGAACTAAAGCTGTTGTCAGAGCTCTGCCTATAGAGAGACGGAAGAAGGGGAGTAACTGTCTTGGAGGAAGTCCCTTAATTATTTGCCTTGATGTTCCATTTTTCCTAAACCTGCTCCCTACTGCCACACTTGCAGACTCTAGGCTTGGAGTTTCAGTAAAGAGGCCCTATGGAGAATTCTCTGACTTCAGCATGCAGCCGGAGCACCTATTTTGAGTTCCATGTTACTGTTTTGGTTTCTCAATCAATAAAATTCCAACTGCTTTCTATTACCTTGAAATTCCTTAGACTTTCTGGTATCAGCAAATAATAATGAAAGCAGCTAACATTAATTCAACATTGGCTAAATATAAAAACTCCAAGTACTTTGCACACATGACCTCTCTCGGTCCTCACAATAACTCTAGAAGGTAGGCACTGCCATCATCATCCTTATTTTACAGATGAGGAAATTGAGGACAAAAAAAAAA